AATGTAATATAAAAATATAATATAACTTTTATATTTATTAAAAACGCATTTATTTTGTATAAAAACATTTTTCAAATAATCGAGATAACACACAAAATACTGAAACGAGGTACATCCGACCCGTTCGTGATCTCATGGATTAGGTTAGACACTACTCACTTGTTCTACATCCGTGTCACTGAATATTGGAGCACATGAATGCAACTGCTCCACCTTACCAGTGATTCCACCTTACAAGTGTTCTTTAGATTAATTTAGAGCATGCGACTTTCAAAAGTAATCAAATTAGATCGAATAGATTGTGAAAAGTACAATGTGCACGAATTTGTGTGATGCAAATTTAATAAAAAGAATGCATAAAAACAAACAGATACGTACATTAACTATATACTAATAATACTGTGCTATTAATATTGTGTATTTTATTCTAAAATATATATCAATAATTTTAAATATATCTATAATTCAGTAAAAAAAATCTAGAAAAGCAAAATATAACCTCACTGTATTAACTTTTAATTATAACTCTAAGTTATAATTATTAATTAATAATTAATTAATAATTAAGTTTATGATCTTTCAAAAAATATATCAACTGCAAGGAGAATTGGGGCGTATTTATCAAAAGAGCAACGAAGATAGTTACATACGCAAATCGGATAAAAATATTAAAACACATTATAAGTACATAAAAATTCACAAAATATTTTTCCCGACCAAAATATTAAACCATCCTTAGAAAGAGATATGTGCAAATGTTTTATTAGAGTATTAAAACCTGAAATCGGACAAAGAATAGCTAGCAATTTGAGCGTTCAAGAAACTGTAGCAGACGCGAATAGAAAGAGAACTTAATTCGATGACAGATTTATGAGTCAGGAAGATATTTTGAATACAACAAATACCAATAAGCGGGAAAGTCAGATATAAGGAAGGGCATTTAGTTTATTTCGAATTGCAGAAAATTAACTTATTTGGGAACAGAAATTTTAATATGTCAGATTTGCAAGAAACATGGGCATAGTGCTGACAAATATCGGTTGCTTCACAATCTTCAAATATTCCGCGATAATCCATTGATATTTTATAAGGGAGTAACATAATTTATCAATTATGTTTTAAATCTGGCCATAATGCTAAAAGTGCCAAATGAATAATAACAGTAATCAGAGTAAGCCCTCCATAATCTGTTAATGGCGAAAGACCAGATCATTCGGCTAATAATTGTTGGAAAAAATAAAACGAGCAACGTAACTTGGAAAATAAAGTAAAAATCGTTTGTCAAATTTGTAATAATTTTGCTAAAGATTGTCGATTGAAAATGGAATAAAACGCGGCACATAAGGATTTGTTATTCTATCGTTATTGTAAAGAGCAGAGGCATCT